TTTTATTTTGCCCCTTCTATTTTCCTTATAAAGGGATAGAATTTTTTGATTATTCGTTTTTAAGTTTATCGTGATATAATTTTTATAATAGCGATTAAGTAATAAAAGTATTTTATATTTTGTGTTTAATTAAAATATAAGCGAAATTTTGTCATAATATCACGTTAGCAATATCCTAAAGTACACCATCAGTACCACAGCCACGGATGCTCCACCAACCACTCTAGGTATACTACCCGTTTCTGATCTACCACCATTATTCTTCCATCCTTTATTTTGCTTATAACCTCACTTCCGGTTGGTTTCTCATCCTGGCTCAAATTAATTATCTAACGAGAATTTCTTTAACTTTAATTTTTGCAAACTGCTAATTTTTTTGCTTATAACTCAATTCTAATTGATGATATCCTGCTGAAAAATATGGAGGCACAAATTAAGTATCTAATATTTACAGATACTTATATGGATTGCTTTTGGCAAGTTACCAAATTTTTGTTATTTCGCCTAACATTGATTCTGCTAGATTCGTGTTGAAGATCAATTAGGCACAAATTAAGGGTTTCTCATTGGCATAAATTTAAGAATTTATTCCTCAAGTTGTTCTATAAATCGCCTTTAAATTGAATATCACTAACTTAACTATTAGGATCACCTGTGACCGGTTTAAATAATATTGATAAGGCACAAAGATTAAATCTTGGCCTGCACAATCTTGCTCATAATTTCAAAAACAGTTGATTTTGCCTGGAAGATCAATTAGGCATAAATATGCACCAAATATTGGCAAAAGTTTTTAAATTTTATCCTCGAGTCATTTTGCCAACTTTATGATTTATAAATGTAAGATAAATTAGATTTAAAACCTTGAAACCAACATTTTTTAAATTGCATATTTTAATTTAAGCAAGAAGTTTCTTACATTATATTATTATATCATGTATTAAATTTCTTTCTATTTATAAATGACTAATTTATAATTAATTTTTCTCTTTTTTTTAAATTACAAGTTATTTTTAATTTATAGGTAAATTGAGTTAATTATATTTTAAAATATTTTAATAAATTCCGAAGAATCTCCCCTATGTTTTGGCATATCTTTAAAATGAAGGTATCTACTATAAAAAAATTATATACTTTTTTACCCCGTACTAAGTATCGATAACCTCTATCAAAAAGTATTACTTTTCTGATTTATAACTAGAGTTCGGGACTTGAACCATAGCGGGTTTCAGCTCTGAATATTTTAAATAAATGGTTCTAGCTCGTGGTTTTTTGAGAATTGCCAGGGTTCCCAGAGTTACGGGTTATAATTCCGTTTCCAAACAATTATAAACCTTCCAAAGTGAATCACATTCGAGAAAAATATTATATGAAATAATAACTTTTGCTAGAACCGGTTTTTTCTAAAGCTAATTACTTGCTATCGTACAACCAACCTAATTGAAGAATTAGTGTTGTTTATAAAATCTATAAATAAATGTAACCTATAAAATAATATAGGTTAAAAAATATATAAAAAGGTAGAAAATTTTTAGATTTAAAATTGCTAATTATTTATTTATTTACTAAATTAATAAATGTTTATATTTTAAATCATATAAGACGCTGGTCATATTAAATTAAATTGTAGATCGGTATGAAATTGAATGGCAAAATATATTTAGTAAGGGGGTCAAAATTATATGCAATGCAAAATATTTCAAAAATGATTTGGCATATGTTATAATATAATATTAGACAGAGACCGCTGCAGGTTCAGCCCACCGTAATCATAATGACCGTGATGGGTATAATTTAAAAAATAAAGGATATTTTTTTACAAAGCGCGGACTACGTTGGAAAATCATATTATGAATTATTTAACAATTCATTTATTGCTCATATTTTCAATTTATCTTTGGAACAATTAACAAAATATATTTGCCGTCAAAAATTATTTAATTTAACGAAATTTAAAAAATTAGGGCCATAAAATATAAAAATAATTTTTTAAAAAAATTGGGTTATTTTTTTGTCTAAAAATTGGGTCGGGCTTGAAAAGGGGAAAATTCTTCGAAGTTAGCTTCGGTATGAACCTAAAAAAAATCAATATATGAAGATCTCTGATAATATTACTATTACAACTTATTCTCGAATTTCATGACGCAAGTAATCAATTAACCAATCATTCTTTATCGCGACTGTCACGGGAATTAGCCATAATCAAACAAAAGATAATTGAAATTTAAATCATTTCATTTTTAAATTATTTACTTCTTTTTTTTTTAATCTAAAGTATATCGGGCTATATTTAAAACAATCGAGGACCTTAAAACAAATATTTAATTATAAATCTGATCCAACTATAAGAAAAATTTAGGGCAAAGGGTGTTTTTTTTTAATTGTTGCTTATAATTATAAATTTAAACTGAAAATTCCAGAATTTTTCAACAAAAAAAAAATTTATTAATTTATTATCCCCTTTTTCAAATGAATCTAAACTATATAATGTTTCAAGTTATATTATCAAACTTCATCCTATTCCTAAGTTTGGTGGAGGGATTCCCATGTAAAGCATAAATTTGTTATTTGATAATCATAAAATATATATTTTGTAATTTCGAGGGACATATAGAACCAGTCTTTCTCATTTTAAAATTGAATAAATTATTTTTGTTTTATCTTGGAGGTGAATTTATGTTATATAATTATACCTATGTTTAGTTCTTATAATGTAATTTATTTAGCCCCCTCAATCATATTATTTAAGAAATCGAATATTCATGTAAAACATTAAACCACCCACACTTTATAATAGTAAAGGTCACGAACGAAAAGGATTCTTAGTTTTTATCACAATGCACGTTATTGATCTTTCATAAATTGAATTCTGCCTATAAAATATAACGTAAGATTCTAACATCATAAAAATTTTAAAAAATTATTATATTACATTAACAAAATAATTTTTTTTTTTTCTTTTTTCTTTGAATTTTAACAAAAAAATTGACCGAATCTCATAGATCAAGCGCGTGAAAGTAAAACTTTTTTTGGCTTCTTGCTTGAGATATTTCTTAATATTTGCCCATTTTAATTTAAGATTTTAGTCAAAATAATATTGAGCAAGCTTCAAGATTTCGTAAATAGATATCCAACTCTTTTTGGCTTCTATGAGCAAAATCTTTAGTCCTGCGTAATATTTTATAGCTAAAATATTAGGTTCGCCTTTTTTTAAAAAACGAGCCGTTTAACAACACTATTTCTTGGAATACCATTTACGTTAAACAATCCAAAAACTTATATTTTTTAATAAAAAAAATACCATCATCCCAAGATTTGTTAAAATTTAAAAACTACATGAAAGAAGTTAATAATTTTATATACTTTTTTAAAAAAAAGGAACATGTCACACTAGAGAGGAGTAATTGCTTAAGAATAGGTTTAAAGGTAGAATCCATCGAAACCTTTTTAAATAAATCGCCGAGGGAATTGTTTAATAAAATTTTGATAGTTTTATTCTCCATAGATATAATTATTTTAATAGACTTGTTTCTTTAAGGTCACCCAAAACTAGAGGAAATAATAACGTTTATATAAGTGAAATAGACCAGGACATCTTTAACGGCAGATAAAAACGCTTTTATGTTGTGACGAGGTGTGAGCCTGTATAAATGAATTATAAAACTTCCTATAGGATTTTTTTTAAAAAACTGTGAAATTATGTGTATGGACTATATAAAAAAAAATTTAATTGCCTATAATTTTTTTCTGAATGAGTGAAAAAAAGGCCATTATATTTATTTTATTTCATCCCTAAATAAACATTCATTTATTTTTGGAGATATTCAGTCTTCAAATATTGAAATAAAATACAATATAAATATATCGAATGCTATTGATCTTTTTCTGTATAGGTTGACCCAGGACTCATTCCTTCATGGCTATTAATATTATTATAATGAAAAATTATCGTATATTCTTTCAAATTTGGATTTAATTAAAATTTACAATTTAAATATTTTCTTATGCTTTTTTAGATGTTAAATCTTAAAATTTTTTTGTATTTTCTTACATTTTACACATTTTATCTTCTGATGTTATATATTATATTAATTGACCTTATTATAATTTTACGATTTTAAAATGGAGGTATTTATTTATTTATCAAAAAAAGAGTAATAATTAGAATTTTTTTTATATCTTTATCAAAATTTAATGTTTATTAAAATCAGATATGATATTATATATTTTGGAAAAAGGTTGTCTAAATCTTTATCATAATTCAATGTTCAAAATATATACAATCCTATATACTATATTTCCCCTGCTGATTCCCTATAGTATCAATTTCTTTTTCCACCAATCACATGTTAAATAGGATTAAAGATGGAGCTGTGAAAAAAATTGACAATTTTATTTTAAATCTTGAGGGAGGGGGCTTTAAATTTTCTAACCTAGAGACCAACATTTTAATATGACTGGAGCCTCCACACTAATTCTATATTAATATAAAAAAATATGATCGAATTATGTATTTTTTTTAGTGTAATTTAAATAAATATTATATAATACCTTAAGAAATAGATTTTTTAATAATTTAGATTTTCAATATGAAAGATAAATTTTTGATTGGCAATTCAAAAATTTGACTGAGGTCCTGAACCCGAATCAAACCTATTTTTGTCGAACCAACTTTGAACTTAAGTAGGTTCACAATTTTGATCTGATCTTTAAACTCAAACCTAACCTGGCCAAAATATTTTGAGGGTTCAATCTGTAGCAAATAATATTTATTTCTTCTAAGTATAGCAAAGAAGTTTCATCATTATCATTCTATACACAATTCTTAATATCCATGCAAGGAAAGAAAGAAAGTAAGCAAATATTATTTTTCGAAGATATAACAAAAATTTTGGATAATAAATTACATATTTTTTGATTATAATATTTTTTCTACCTAGATAAGAATAATTACAGATTACAAAATAATTAATTGCAAATTTCAAATAAAAAAAATATAGATAGTTTTAGAAAGGAAGAAGTTGACCCAAAATGCTCCTTGATATATGATCAACACAGCAATGGCGTCCCCTTTAACCCATTCGACCAAATCTATGTTAATCAGAGTTTGTTAGTGAATTACGGTATATTAAATATTATAAACATTTTCTCTAATGCATATATTTATATATTATTAAAAGCAATACAGTTAAACATTTATAAGATTCAAATTTGGGGATGTATATTTACCCGTGAAACTATAACCTGGGGAAATTTTTCAGGAAATTCGGGAAAATAAAGTGAAACAATTGGGAAAATAGGGTTTGTTTTTCCTTCAAGTTTCAAGAAAATATATAGATTATATTTATAAAAAAAAATAATTCAATTTATGAAAAGTATTCTAAATCAGAACTTTAAAACAATAAGCAATTTGTCAATCCAAAAGTGCTTTACTCATAAAATACAGATTAGCTCTTTTGAAAATATGTGTCTCGATCTGGTTTTTTTATACCTATTTTTAGATTTTAAATATAAATTTCTAAGTATATTTTTTACCATTTATTTTTTCTTTAAATTTACCCCTTTTTCTAAACATTTATTTTCGGAATTTTATCTTTGTTCACTAGCTAAGCCTGAATCCATCAGAATTAGAGAAGGTTCTTATAATTCCAACAATTTTATTATATAAAATAAATTCTACAAAATCATAACCGTTATGATAAGGAAAGGAAAGACTCGAATAAATTCTTTGGCATCGGATCTTCAAATCATTTAAAAACGTGCTCAACAAATTTTTTGATATTTTTCTTTATAAAATCATATTAGTTTTTTTTTTTTAAATTTTAAAAAATCTGAATTTGCCTGAAATATATTCTGGAATATGTAAAAAATACCAAAACTGTACTATAAATAAATGTTAGGCAATTTTATTAGATTATGCATATGATTAGGCCTACAAAAAAACGAATCGCTTCGAATAATAAAATCATTATTCGTTTCGATTCGTCGAATATTCGATTCGATTCGAAAAATTTTCTAAAGCTTATAAAATATTTTGCAAAAAAATTTTTACAGATGTTTAAAGATGACACTTTTAAGGATTCTCTAAACATTTTTGCATATAAAATATAACAAAATTTTAGAAAGTATTTCATTATAGATTTTATTTATTAAAAATACTTTAGTAGCATAAATTTCCTATATTTTATATTAATATAATTTTTAGAGGTGATTATGACAATGTAATAGAGGATGAAGATATTATAATGCACTATCTGAATTAGATTGTTTTTAAAATTTTCCAAAAATAAGGTTACTAAATGGGAAAAGGATTTTCCTAATCAAATAATAAGAACTAGTGAAAAAAATTTAGTTATTTATCTGCCAGGAGCTCGAGAATATGGGAAAGAGGCACACTCTATAAAAATGTTTTGACTTGTTCATAACATCAAAAATGATTAAAGAGAAACAATCAAAATAAAATAATTATATTTTACTTTGAAGCTTTTCCTTTTCTTCAATTAAACTTTTTCAGCAAATATAACTTGTTATGATTTGATATTTGATAATAGGAAATAAAATAAAACGAAATGATATCCACTAGGATAATTTAATTACTTCTTTTTATTTTACTTGCAATAAAATATTTGCGAATAATTAAATATTTATATATAAATAATTTCGAATAATTTTCCTCATTATTCATATTCGATTCGAAATTTCGAATCGAATAATTGTGTTATTCGTATTCGTAAAATACGAATCGAATCGATTCGAATATCAAATAACAAATAATTCGTTTTAGGCCTACATATGATTGTGCATATTGACAGTAACATATAATATTTAAAATACAGTGAAATATATAATAACTGAGCTCCTTAAGCACAAGATCGACTTAATTAATTCTGGCAATCCTAAACCATACTAAATCTTTCATTTATTAATAAATATCGCGTAAATAATATATATTAAAGGTCGGCGTAGCCCGGCCCGAAGCCTAACCCGCGGGCCAGGAAAATTACCAAAGTTTGAAAACGTTTTAAAAGTTAATAATTAGTCAAATTTATGTCGTTTTCTTTCATAAAATTATTACGAGCTGGACCGGATAAAAATAATTACAAGCCGAGCTGGGCTAAACCGAGCCCAAAACCTCGTTAGAACATTTTTATGAGCCGGGACCAACCCCCTGATATATATTTTATAAAATAACCCTTTGAATCGATTAATTTTGAAAGATAGTGAAAAAGAAAACATTTTGAGCTATGGGAAAAAAATATGATATCGCGATTATTTATATCAATAAAAAAAACCATTACAAAAATTGAGGAAACTATAGGAATTATTTAGAGGAAAATTTTTCCTACGTTATATCCCTCCCTAAATATACAAAAATAGTTTAACTCAAGGAAATAGAAAATTAAATAAACCGGTAATTGTAATGGCCATTTTCTTGAGTTGGGCCATAATCTAAATACACACGGTAACTTATGGAATAAAGAACTTTAGAATCAATTCAATGCTAGTCCATTTTTTTAAACTCTATATTTAGTTATTAGTTTACAATTATCATCAGGGTCGTAATTACAAGGGAAGTGATATGGGGACCCGCCTCATAAAAAAATTGAAGCCCCAACAAAATATTGCAGATTGTTTAGACATTTTTATACAAATAAAAGTGTATTTATAATTTAAAAAAAATATGATGATCTTTTGCATATTTTTATTTAATAACTAATTCGTATTCTAGATCTTCTTTAAAATGGCGAAAAGTGATAGAAATACTCGATCTTTGGTCGAATACAATCAAATTTAGCAAATAAAAGCTAACTCATGTACAGTATACAGTATCCCTCCTCTCTTTTTTTAAGAAATCATTTTAAAGGACGGTCTTGATTATAATGAACATAATTTTGAATACGCATTTTTGAACAATTTCTCTTAACATACATTTAGATTTATAAATTTCATGAATATATTTATTAATTCTAGAAATCCTAGGAGACAATCTAAAGTTTTTGGAGATATCTGGATGCAGAATCAATATAACAGTGTACCTTCAGAAGAATCAATCCATGATTTTTAGTAACATCAATTTTTTTTTTACTCAACTAGTTAATTTACTGATAAATTTTTTTATTAAAAATATTCTTAATTTTTTCATGTAAGTCGACATAAAAACAAATTCATGTATACAATGAAGTCTAAAAACAGTTTAATAAATTCAAATGAGTTTTCTAATTAAAAAATATAGAAAAGAATGAACGTTAAAACTTATAATAAAAAATATTTAAATAATTGTACTCTTTGTGATAAAACATAATTGTTCTTTAATATAAATGATACTATTATGGATCCGTTAAGTTGTCGCCAGGGATCAGGCGCGAAATCCGGGGGAATTTCACCCCCTCTCCCCATCCCCATCTCGAATTTGCCTGTTCTCGTATTCATTTTAATCTAATATACCCTCTACACCTATTCCCCAAATGTATAAAATATATCACTTGTAAAGAACAATTTGAAAGAAAAATTAGTGTAAGTTAATAGATTTTTAAAATAACGAGTATAATTTAAAACTTTTAGAAAAAAAGCTTTTTATAAAAAAATAAGTGAAACCCAAAAATTATTTTTATAAAAATATAATATAGCCGAAGACCTATAATAAGTGGACCCAAAGGCCTTCAATAAAATTTATGATGTAAATCCCCGCCTAATAATCCTTCCCCACCCCACCCTATAAGGAAATTCAGCTTATGGCAGGGATGAGTTGCTTTTGGGAAGATTTTTTTTTGCATTAAATGTATATTTTACGTATGTTCTTCTCTATTAGTTCTATAACAGGATTAAATTTACAAAAAAAAAATTTTTTTTAAGAAAGGGTGACATTTTCTCAGGTTTCATTTTAAATGAACTGATGTGAGAGCTAAAAAAATTTATAAGAGTTACTTATAAATTACATTTTACGATAGTTTTATTAAATAATATTCTATTTAAAATCATAATTTATTGAATCAGTTTTTGATCTTTCTTTCTTTTTCTTTCATACTCGCTTTTTAAGATTTAAGAATATAATTTTACCCGAAATAATTTTTCTTTTTAACGCGACGCGAATTATATATATATTTTATAAAAAGTAATTTAAATAAATGGTTTATTCCGATTGAAATGGTCTTGCAGGATTAGAATTCTTCGTTCGGTTCTCTCTTCAGAAATTTCGCTTTTTCTTTTTTATCCCTACTCGTAAAAAATATATGAAAAATAACAACATTTTGACATTGACATATATTTTTGTTAAATTATTTTATAGACAAAAATTCTTATATATAACATGCAAATATTTAGAGTTCAATATAGAGAATCAAGGCTTCTTAGATACATTACATATGAAATATTCAAATATTACAAGCATGAGCAGCCGCAAACGAAATTACCTTGATTCTCCAAGTATTAATAGATGTTTAATTATAATATAAATAAAGAAACGAATAGTAGATTTAGGCATTATTCTTTAGTACAATTTCCTTTTAAAATAGATAATTCATAAAAATGATATTTCAAATAGATATTTTTAAAATACTTCTATAATTCAATATTAAATATGTATGCAAAAAAAGAATATGGACCTTATTATGACGAACGCCAACGCCATGCACCGGAGATAGATCTAGATCATTATGACAGATATCCAGAATCAATAGGTGAAATTAAATCTATTTAAAAAGGCTCTTAAGACTATATATTACATATTAATTTTTTATTTAAATTGTGATAAATCTAAATAGCAAATTATATTATCAATATTAGAGGTTGAAGCGACCCAGCCCGTAGGATCAGTGATTTTTAGCTAAGACCGATCCGTAAAATAATTTTGTATATATAACCTGGGCCGGCTCGTAATAACTTTTTATGAAGGGAAACTACATTAATTTGCCTAATTTTAAGCTTAAATGTCAACTTCAAGGCCGATTCACAAAAATATTTTGCCCAAATTGTCTAACGCGGGAACGAAAATATTTTCGGGCCAGGCGAACCTTTATAAATTATTATATTTTCTCTAACGTAATTTTACAAAAATATTATGAAACTGTTTTTGGCTTTATTTAAAAAAATAAATAGATAGCGATCAATTTATGAGTGAACGTATTGGAAGAAAAAAAAGATCTTTAAACGATAAGAATATAGAAGAATATAATAGCATTTATGATGAAACTATCTCTGGTTCTGGAAATTTTGAAATTTCGGCTCCAGGAATTGTGTTAGAATCAAATTTAAGTGGATCAGGTGATCCATTTCTTTTAACTGGATCAGGATACATAAACGAAAATATCGACATTGAAGAAATTTATACACGAAGTAGGTCAGGAGATAGAGAAAAGACAAATTATGACACGATATTAGACTTAGTCGAAGGAAACGATGATAAACTAGTATCTGCTATGAGCGGATCAGGAGATATATTAAAAAGAAACTACGATAAATCCAATACTCTAAGTGAATTAGGAGACGTAGCAAAAAGGGTCTATGGTAAAATATTAACTATTCTTTGTGGGTCAACAGAGTTAATATCACTTAATATATGTGGAACAGCAGAAATAGGGGGAAGAAACGATGATGAAATCTCATCCAGTCTAAGTGGATCGGGAGACGTAGTCGATGAACAGCTATCCTATATTCTAAGTAAATTAGGGTACATAGTCGAGCGAAACGATAATGAACATTCATCAAACCTAATTAGATCGGGTGAAGCATTCAGAAGGAGTGATGATGAACTCTTATCTAATCTAAGTGGATCAGGAGACGTAGTTGATAGAAATAGACTAGCATCTGATCTAGATGGATCCGGAGACGTGGTCAAGATAAACAATGATGAACATTCATCTACTCTAAGTGGATCAGGAGACGTAGCCAGAAGAAACTATAATAAACAATTTTCTACTCTACGCGGATCAGGAGACGTAGTCGGTAGGAAGGATGATGACCTTTCTAGTCCAAGTGGATCGGGAGACCTACTAAGGAGAAACAATGATGAACATTCATCTACTTTAAGTGCATCGGGGGGCACAGTCGAAAGGAACGATGATGAACTATCACCTAATCTAAGTGGATCAGGAGATGTAGTAGAGAAAAACGATGAACAATCATCGACTCTAAGTGGATCGGGAGACGCAAACGGAAGGACTAATAATATAATATCGTCTACTCCAAGTGGATCAAGTGATATAACCGAAATGAATGATGATAGGCTATCTACTTTAAGCGGATCGGGTTCAGATATAGCAGGAAAAAAGAATGATACTCAAAGTAGGTCAGGAGATATAGACGAAAGAAACGATGATAAATTATTATCTACTTCAAATGTATCAAAAGACACAGTCGAAGATAATGGTGATCAACTAATATCTTCTATAAACCCAGATGTCAAACTCGATAGGTAAATTTATAAAATGTTAAATTACTCTATAATTAGAGATTCCATTTTACTCTCACTCCTAAATAATAATTTTTTTTTTACATTTAAGAACTTCCCCCACGGGTTTAGATATTAATGGTTCAAAGACCAAAATATTTGCTGATAAAGGCACGAGAAATGCAACTAAGGCCTTAAATCCAGAAAATAAGAATTTCGGTTCTGGTGAAGACTCTCCAAGTTCATCAAACGTCGAACACGCAGTTGCTTTAAATGGAAGACTCAAAATCATCAAATATAATGATTTGTCAAATAAGGTTGACAAAAACAACCCACTGTTTACAAAAAGCAAGGCATACAAAAAATACGTATTTAGCATAGATAGCTCCGATGTGAGCCCCAGGAATCCACTGGTTCTTAGTGTAAGAAAATATACTTAATTACATGTATAAAGGTAGCTATTAAGGTTGCGATATATTTCAGGTATCATATAAGCGGTGCTTATGGAAGTTAAATATTTTTAAAAAAAGTGTTAAGTAGAATATTAATGTTAATTGTATGAAGTGAAATAATAATAATTAAAATCGTAGATGAAACAAATCTACCACCTATTATCCTTGATATCTCTGACTCTGATATTATGTTGGAGTGATATCATGATAAATAATTATTCAAAAATAAACCTTTTTTTAGTAATAAATGTGTATTTTTCTTTATACTTAAATGAATCTTATTACTAAGCCTAGGGCTAAAGCATCCCTTTACTATCTTTAAGGAAATTTAAATTAAATATATAAAAACTATTTTTTGCTAGATTTTTTTTAAATTTCACGTTAATAATTACTTTCAGCGGATATGGTTAATATTTTATTATTTTTAAAAATATAGATATTCACTTCACAGCCATCGATGGTTTATTTCTATAGCAAGATGCATTGATGATTTTAGAAACGAAAACTAGTTTTAGATTATTTACATTAGCTTTGAGAATAGAATTTAGTATATTTTAAATCTCCATTTTTTAATAATCAATCATATAATTCTATTAATCATGATTTGGGATTTCAATTTAATTAATGAATGAGATATATATTTAATATAATACGCAGACACCGCTAGAATACAGGTGAGAATAGTTGTTCCAATTATTGTTTTATTATAATTTGAAAATGAGAAAATCATATTTTCGATTACATGTAAAACGGATGATTAAAACTTTATAAAATTATATTTAAAAATCCCACAAAATATTAGAAATTCGCATTCCTTTATTGTAGTGAAAATATAAATTTATGTTGAAACACAATTAAATCTTCTATGTCGATTTATAAATAGCGTAATAGACGGGATGAAATACATTCATGTGATGAGATTTCATGGCCAAAAAATTAGCACAGAATTCGTAAAATATGTCCTCGAATGTGTTATCCGTAACTTTATCTGCATCAAAACCATTCGGATCGTATTTTTTTATTTTCTCTGATAAATCTAAATGGTTTAAATGATAACAAAAAAATTAATTAAAATTTTAAATTAAAGATATAATTTATTTAATGATGGAAATGTTACATTTATTAACACTTATGCCTTAAGTTAAATTTTTACATTTAAAAAAAAATTTACCATAAGGATATTTTTTAAAATTAATTTTGTCGTTTGTTTTTCTTTTTTATAATCGATCAGCTGGTTAGAGGTTAAAGTCCCGATCCCCTTCCAAACGAAAGAGTGGGAGGAAATTGTGTCACTGAAATTTCCGTCAATCAGTCGAATATTCATTTTATAATTGGATAAAAAAAATTTGGGGGGGGGGGGGGGGGGGTGCTGAGCATAGTTCATTTAGGGGGTCTAGGTGGGATCATTCTGGTAATCATTATCATGTGGGACAAAATATATTCACGAAATAGGCCTTACTATTTAACCGAGGACAGCTAAAAAAAATATTCTGAACCATTCGACATGAATAATATTTTTAACAAAAGATAAGAAATTTTTCTTTAGTTATAAAGGTTCCTAAAGTTTCATTGATTCTTTAGTCTGTATAGTTTACCCTTTTCCAACGAAGATTTAATTGAAAGGAACTCAGTTATGTGATGGCTTCCATCTATAGGAGGAATGTGCGCGTCATTGATGCAAGTGATCAGTTCTTCATAAATGAATCGAAATTCTTCTCTTATTATTATATAAAATAGAAAACCTATTTTTTTTAAATCTATTTATCTATTAAAAAATTCAAATTTCTTATGAGATTAGCATTATATTTATTGATTAATAATGATAAGATGGTGGCACCTTTCTTATACTATGATAATATAAAATTTTATTCAAAATTCTACAAAATTTAACTCTTTGATGTTGTGATCCTTTGATTCGCCACGATTTAAAATGGTGCCTATATCTCGTTCAATACTTTCAAGTAGACAATTAACTTTTTCAACGCTTGGCAAGGCCACGTTCTTTAGTTGAAGATGGTATAGTAAGGTTAGCATTTTGAATGCGCAAGATATTTTCTTAAAACATGGGCCATCCATAAATTCCAAGGTCTAAATATTGATAATAAATTTTTTTTTAAATATTCGAAATCAATCAATATTATAGTAAAACTTAGGATTAGCGATGATTGGAGTCATACAGAGAGATGGATTGGGACTTATGTTTTTTAAAATGGGACTAGGTAAAATGTTCCTAAAATTTCAATTTAAAATTAACAAATCTGATTCGTATACATATAAAATTAATAAAGATTATAGATTTTTTTTACCATATAAAAATAATCTTAAAAATGATACGTAAATTGAATATCACCTAGGTGGTTTAAAAATTATCAACATTAAATGAGGTAATAAAGTAGAGCGTTAAGCGTTATTTATTTTTCATGTGTTTTATTATAGCGTCATAATTTTGTTGTTATATACCAAAAAAAGTGGTTTTCGAGTAGAATTTAAGATCTAGTCGGTTAGTGCATATGTATCTTGCAGTATATATCTGGGTTCGTATCTAGCAAGGACCGGACTTTTCCCTGAAACCAACTAGGTGGTCCTATGCTACGGGGAATGATATATAGAATATCGAAAGCGACCGGGTGATTCCAAGAACAGACATTAAAATAAAAATGGACCTTATTGTATTTTAATAAAATTGATATATGACGACCTACGCTAATCTCGTGTGATAATATAAATATACTCATTTTTTATGAAAATATTTACGCATCGTAATCGTCATGGGCAAGAAGCTAGGTTAATGCATTCGAGCTTCCCTATGTTTAGAAAGCCATTTGATTCTTAGAGTTTTAGAGGAATCCATTATTCGCCACTTTTTTCTAAATCCAACCAACACGAGCAGCTAACTAAGTAGAGAGATGGTAGAAAGATAAGGGGGTAGGATTAATATAATATTTTTTTAATCACATCATTTTCAAACAAAGTGTTCTTTTTGAAAAAAATAAATATATGTTTGAAAAGGAGCATTATATGACTATTTTGAATTTATTTTTAATTTAAGTGTGGTGATTATCTGTGTATGCTGCAAATAATTTTCAATCCATCTCTTACCTCCGATGACAAAGATAGAGGTACAACTTAAGAAAGCATGAAATGCTAATATAGCGGTAGATGCATTTCAAAATCCTGCTGTACAAGAAGCAATTGTCACTTCTTTAAACCTTACCCTAAAAATGGAGTTATATGCATGTTCCGAAGTATAGGATTCATATGTAAACAAGGGTTATTTTACTTTGTTTTTTATTATATATTATTATCCTTAAAAAAAATTGTTATAATTAAAAAACGGATTTAATATAAAACCTTTTATCTTTTATTTTCCAATAACCGAAAATATATATCTGAAAGTCCACTTTAATAAAATCTATGAAAAAGAATAAGTGTAAAAAATCTTCGAGGTTAACTAAAAATCAAATATAAAATAGTATAAATAATTTTTTACATTCATTTATATATGAATTTTTAAACAATAGTTAATTATTTTTATATTATATCTTTTTGAAAAATTTTATATCTTTCATATTTATGTAAGATTTAAATAAAATATAAAAAAAAATTTCATAAATACATGAAATATTTAACCAATCATTATAAGCATCGACTTATTAAAATGATACGAGCAGGGTGGCGGGTTCACATTTAAGAATGAGGTGTTTCAAGAAGATATTGATGAAATAGCGTTGAACTAATATTAATGTTCGAGGCACAGTTCGTGGAGCAGGAAATTATGGGAAGAAAGATGAAAATTTCCAGTTTTTTATAAAAACAAATTCAATTTTAACCAGAAAAATATTGCCTATGCCGATAATTACTTTATAAATGTCCAAATCTATGTCCTGTCTTGTAATATTTTTATAGATAATAAATATATTGAGTACGCCGTTTTTAAAAAAGCCATTTAACAAACTAAGTCGGGCTATATTCAAGATTTATCAAGGCGCTGCTATCTGTCCTGCTGTACTAGATGTAATTTTGTGAGATTTAGAGATATACTTTAATAAATGTTCAAATTATGTTTTATAATATTACAGTTTATTAGTTAGTTTGCAATTATTAAAATAAAATTTAGCTTTTAAAAGTGATATTTAAAAAAAACGCATAAATTTTAAGTGATGGATTATAAAATTAAAATGTCGAAAATTTAATCTCTGTTATAACTTTTCCTCAGTTTTATATGAAACGAATCCGATTTGGGTACACATTAAGATACAGGTGAAATATGATCGATTATTAAATCGGGAGAACCGGCGAACCAAAAAAAATATATAACAATTTATTAGGACAAGGGCTCTAAAACATGTCATATGTAAGACTTTAAGACGTACAATTTTATAAATCATTATATAAAATCGATAAGAATCGAATACAATCTATTTATTTTTTTGAACGAATCGAATAATTTATTACTTGTCCGAATAGTAAAATTACGAATTTATTATTCGATTTTTATTCGTTTTTTGTGATATTTTTCCTTTTATATAAAATTTATCATTCTAAACTTTTTTATTAAAATAATAATTTTCATAAAAGCAAAATGTATTTATTAGTTTAAATCCTAAATATAAAAAATTTACAATAACCAACCTCGGGCAATTTATACTCAAGGGATGTCGCGCAAATCAGCGTTAAAAAATAATCCGCCATAAACTCTCTATAAGGCAGCTTAGTGCTGGTTTGAATGGGCGTCTTCTCGTTAGATGATTGAAAAGGAAGGGTTTGAGATGATTTAGAAAAGCATTGCACAGTTAGAGGTAATGATTCGACTAGCTTCTCAATTCCTATATTTAAAATAATTTATAATAATAATAGTAATAATAAAACTCCAAAGGCGAGAACTACTATAGAACCGAGAAAAATTTTAAATATTTTTTGAGGCCAAAGAATTTGATGATTCCAAATCAAGTGTTTTTAAACGCAAATAATGCATTTCAAATGATATCGTACAAATTGATTAAATTCTCATTTTTAAGTTTTTAAATTCCCCTAAAATACCTATATTTGGAAGTGCTGAGCATTTTTTAAAATCGCAAAACACACCCTGAAACATTATAGTGCGCACAAATTAAGCGTTTTAAACGCTGCGTTCCAAAAGCAAAATAATGAATTTCAAATAATAACGTACAAATTAGTTTAATTATCGCTTGACGTTAAAACATTTTTTAAAACGCAAACGGGATACTTTTTCAGGACTTTTTTATTCTTCATTTCCCAATTATATAAAATGTAACTTATCTTTTAAAATGAAATATTTAGAAATTAATGAATTAAAAAGACCGACGATAATATATTATAAAAACCAATTCATTCATTTAACACGTTGACCTAAGTTCCGTCCTAAGGAGAACGCGCGTATATGCGAAACCCCTTTTCACATAATCGTGTAGTTTTTTTTTCGCAAAGTAAGTCGACAAAACCTATTTACCCAAATTATATAAAATGTAGAATTATCTTTATATAGAATATTCAGAATGACATAAGAATTCCTACTTTTATTTTCCAATCACTATTGACTGACCTAACACTAAAAACATGTTTAAAATATTTAGGTTTTCTTCGTATTAGTTTATCGCTTTATAATTTTTGTATTTATTGGTTATTGGTTAGTACAGTTTGTCTTATTTTTCAAGCAATTATTCTTTTCCATAACACAATCTATCATACACACCTCTCACTTTAAAATGCGAATTCTTAGAAATTAATATAATTTCTTAGCAGAAGATAAAATTCCAAAAACCAATTATTTTTTATAACAGTTAAAATTTTTAATCGACGTTAAATATATTTTTAAAAAACCTCGAAATTTTAAAACTTTCGAAACTTCGTAAAATTATGAAATGTCCAAAATCTTCCATTAAAATTTTTTTAAAGTTTTGAAATTTATAATTCCTATCAAATTATTTTTATACTTCCCATTTAATTAAGATACTTCCCATTTTGATTATTAACTGCCTATTTTTTATTATAATTTGAAAATTGCTAACTCTTTTTCGTATAAATTTTTACAACTTTTTTGTATTTTAAGTTAAAATTTATGAAATTTTTAATTTCTCTAGCTTTAAAAAATTAATAAATCATCGTGAATTCGAAAAAATGATTTAGGACACTATTTTATTTTTATATCAAAAATAGCTCATTTCTCTTTTTGCAATAAAGTTACTAAAGTTAAATTTTTTGATATTTAGTTCACAGCATAAAAAAGAAACCTCAATTACATGGGATAAGTTACCTTTGTTATTTAAAAAAAAAAGGAGGACAAAACGCAAAGGCTCAATTTGTGCGCACTATTATAAAATGTTAAATGAGAGATATCATTAAAAAAAATTAACCCTAGCTTATTATAATCAGCCAAGTTAGCAGGTCAATTTAGTGTTTTATCGATTAAAAAGAATATGTTATTTATATGCGGTGTCCCTATATCTGCTTCGCGTATTCGTATTAGTTTAACGGAAGTACCGTTTATAATACCAAATTTGCTTTTCCGAAACAACAAAAAACGACCTGAAAGGGGACTGTAAATTAGCTAGCGCGTTTTACTCCGTAGACTTATCCTAAAAATTTGACAAAGTATGAACTACTTTTAGTTCAAATTATAACTAACAATGATAAATATTTTGAACTCTTAAAAATAAAATTTTCGATTCCTTCTAAAAGCTAAACATTTTTCTTAAATATTAAATGTGCTCATGTGATCTAAAAATCTTCCCTTAATTTCATCCCTCAATCACAGTTGGCGCGAATTCGCGAGTTGCAAATTGGCGCTAACTTGAGGGAACAAAGTCATGTTTAAAAAAAGAAAGATGAAAACAAATATAAGGGTTACCAATAATTTTGCCATCCTTCCATTCGATGTCATAATGAGAGCAAAAATTTTCTCTTTCTATACCTTCTATAAATGTAGAAATAGCTGATTTATTTTGTACCACTGCAAAATTGAGGCAATCCAATAAAATTTTCTGAAATAACTCATGCATTTCTCTAATTTTTTTTTTTTAAATTATTAAGTAAAGGGAGCAAGAAAAAAAAATATCACATAATATATTAAAAATAGAAAAATAAAGTAAATTATAAAAAATTCACGTCATATGTAAAATAATGGGGTTGGATAAAAAGAAATTGTTTTCCCTCTTTCAAATCATTTTTGCCATAATCTTTCCTACATTGCGGAAATTGGAATATCTATTTTTCTTGTTCTTTAAATATGAAATTTCAACGGTGAAAGGGAATTTTAAACTGAATAATTTAGTTATGATAAAAATATCTGTATAGATATTGTTGGTGATATAAAAAGGACGACCAAACTATTAAAAAGGTAGCATTTACTTTCGGAACAGAAGCAGACATTTTTTTTATAAAAAAAGAAAATTTTTGAAAATCACAAAATTGAAGATTTTTTTAGGCTGTGTGTCCTAAATATATTTTAAAAAATTTCAAACTTTAAAAATTTTCGTAACTTTATAAAATTAAGGAACACACACAATCTTTTATTAAATTTTTTTTTATAAATTTTATACTACCCATTTTAAATACTTCCTATGTTGATTAATATAACTGCAATTTGAAAACATAAATTAATAATGTTTACTCTTTTTTTCGTAAAAATTTAACAACTTTATATACTTAAGGCTGTGTCCTAAATATCAAAAATTGCATAAAAATTATCTCGCGCAATTTGCGCGAATTTAACGAAAAAAATAATATAAGCCATTTTTAATGGAAAATTAAAATGATGGCCTAAATGATTTTTTCGATTTTGCGCAAATCACATGATTCTTAAAAGTTATACGATTCGTAAAACTTTAATCATTTTTTCCTTAAACTTTTACAATTTGAGGGATTAAAATGGCAACCGAATATTTATTAATGGAAAATATTAGAAGATATAGATATTTATGGTGCACTAGTGATCTTAAATATAGAGACACCGCTGCTAGCAAAATCAAATTAGAAGAGATTGGTAAGAACTTTAATCTTACATATGAAGAAATAAAGAAAAAATTTTCTGGAATAAAGGCAAAATTTAATAAAATTATGTTTTTATGTTTAACTATAGCGGTGTCTATAGACTCCAAATTTATAAGAATGTAGTTGAATGTTTCCACATGCATGTGGAACATCTGACGAAATTTGTCAGGATAAGATGGAATACTATCAAATATTTTAAAAAGTCCTTGATCTCTAGAATTAATACATATAATATAAATAATATCATATATACCGGCCTTCTAAAAATCTATGCCTTCTTCTACGCTCAGTCGTATCAACAAATAATATAAAAAATAGAAATTGTAAATCATTCATATCAAACATTTTAAAATTGAAAATAAATGTATGAATCGGGACATGTTTCGTATCTCCCAAATCTCCCGTAATTTTTGCGATTCGCAAAAATTTTAAGAAATTTTTTTTTTGATTTAGGACACAGCCTAAATTAAAATTTAGTAAATTCTTATAATTTCTCAAACTTTAAAAAATTAATAAATTTTGATAAATTTAAAAAAAATGATTTAACCAACTATTTTATTTTACATAATCTCGTTCCCTTTTTAAAGTAGCGAGCTACTTGTAGTGCGCTACTTAGCGTGCTAACTTTTTTTGGTAGCTATAGCTAATTGAGGCTACTTTTTTTGTAATTATTTAATTTTTTAGCGCGCTACATTTTTTGAAAAAATATAATATCATAATTAATTATAATTTTTAGGATTTATTATTTAATTTTGAAATTGAAATATATTATCAATTTGTAATTTGTATTTTCATTTGTATTATAAACCTAAATCACGGGTTAATAATTAAAAATGTCATCGCCTATGGATATCCAAATCATTGAAAGTGATTCAGACAATGATATTAATAAAATGGAAAATACCAGGGAAGAAAATGCACTTAATAGCTATAATACAAATTTCCCATTCCTTTGATTTGCTAAAATAAATATAAAAACCAAAACTGGCTTCAAATTTATTTTTTTAAAATGTAAATCAATCCAGTTATAACCTCAAGAAACACCAAAAGGTAAATTGTCATCATTACATTCTAATAGTGTTTATTTTATAAGACTGTTTGTACCAATATCTTTAAGGAAATGGGGAAACATTAAAATAATTTTGGTATAGGCGATTCTACATCCAAAAAGACTAATTCAAATCAAACCAAATTAATTAATAATCCAAATGCCAATATTTCTCAGAAATTGGCCAAAGTTATTGTTGATTTTATAATTGATACAGTTCAGCCAATGTCCTTGGTTGTAATCCATCATTTACCATGATAATTAAAACTCTATCCTCTGATACAACAATTTTATGTCGCCGGACAATGAATAAAATAGCAGATAACTTTAAAGTGATGAAAGACGCTCTAATAGTAGAGTTATCAGAGATATCATATATATGTACCACGGCAGATAGTTGGACATATAACACTAGGTAAAAACTTATAAAAGGCAACAAATTACCATAAATATTTATTTTTGTTACATAAATTTTTTTATAATCAAAACTAACTATATTTTAATATTTATAAATGTTGATTTTTATATATTTACTATACAATAACATTACAAGCAAAAAATAAAACTAATTTGTTTCTAAATTTTTTTTAAAAAAGTAGCTAAAGCTACTTTTGAAAAATAATAGCTAATAGTGAGCTACTTTTTTTGACAAATAGCGATAGCAGTAGCGCGCTACTTTTAAAAGTAGCGATTAACAACTCTGCTTTTTTCGTTAAGTTTACGAAAGTTTACGAATTATATTCCTGATATTTAGGACACACCCAAGATTAAAAACATTTTTTTAAAAAATTTGTCAATTTATCATGAAAGATTTTTTTTATGCATAAAAATCACAAAAGATTTACTTATAAAAGATGTTTTACAAAAAAAAAGATTTAGAATTTTTAACATTTGATCAAAAAATCTTCAAAGATTTTTTTATTTTGAAGAGCATCTCAACTTTCAGAAAATAATTCTCTATCTAATATTATAAACTTTTAAATTAAATTATGAGTGCCATAGTTAACTATGATAGAATATTTTTTTGTATTACTACCAGAGGTTTAAAATTTCTCTTTGGTTGGTAGAGATTTTGCATTAAATGATTTTATTTACAATATATCAAATGAGAAATGGTGGATAAAAATGTAAAGTCAAAAACAAATATATAAATCATGCATTATTTTACTCAATGATTTCCTGCAATTTATTAAGAGTATTTGCAACTATTGTTTCATCTAACATACAATTACATTCTTCATCATTATTAGTTAAAATTTGAGTCAACAATTTGAATATTTTGGCACTTAAATTAGATGTAGCAGCTTAAAAAGTATGTGAGAGAATGAATTATGAAATGAATTTTTAATTATATAGCATTGGAAGTAATCACCGATATTTGTAACTATGATACTATTTTTTATAACATAACATATCTTTATCTATAATACAATTTCTTTAAAGTACAGTCAGCCCTGTCTAATTTAAGCTTTTGATAATTCAGGCAACTCCCTAATTTTACCAAAATTTGAGTTCCAATCAAATTCCTATTAACTACTATTAGAAATTCTCTTGATAAATTGGGCCACTATGTACTTGAAAAAGTGAGAGATATTGAATTTTAATTTATTTGACTTTCCCATATAATTTATTTATATAATAATTTACAATTATAAAAACGGAATTATTTAAATAATTTAATTACAAAATATAAATTTTATTATTTGTATGAATATTCTAAATATCACATTTATTATTTGTATGAATATTCTAAATATCATTATGATTCTTAGTAAATTTAAATCCAAATTTCTATTAAAAAAACAGAAAATAATATTGTTTTATTATAATTTATTATGTTATGCGAGGAAATTTTTAAAATAATAATTAATTTTTGAAAAAAAGAGAAAAGAAAAAGGCTTTTTAGGGAGAATACTAATCATCAGTGGAAATTGAATTAGTAAAATAGACAAATTTGTCTTAGGAATGGATATAGTGATCCTCTATCTTAGATAAAATCCATCACGAGGCTTCCCAGAACTTTTCCTGACAAAAGCCAATTTTATTATTTTTCATTTTTAAATAGGCCTAGCAAAATTTACTGAAATATAAAATGCCTAGGGTAATTAAAAATTGCTAGTTATCAAAGAGGTCTTATTAGATTAACTAAGTAGTATGCATTACTAGATAAAATTCCATATAATATAAAATTAATGTAACTTCTAAATGAAAAATCCTGTGAGATAATTAAAAATAAATTGATTTATATGGTCCCTACTTTAGACATAGCCATTAACAAGATTTAAGGTGAAATTAATTGCTACTATAAGAAATCTGTCTATTGTATTTAAATATTAAAGTTTAAATGAAAATCTACATTTCCTAGTGTTGTATTCATGATTGAAATAAATTTGGAAGCAACAGGTTAAAATTTACCCCCCCCCCCCCACATTAAAAATATTATATCACTCCACTTCTTAAGAGGGCACTCATCTAAAGGAGATAGGGCAAATTATTCCTCTACCTTTGTTTATATGAACATTGCATTTTTGTTAAGCTATTGCAAAAGTCAATAAATAAAAGGAAAACATTTATTATGCTATTATATTTACTGCTCTGTATAGGGCATGCTATAAAATCAAATATTTTGACAATATAATTGCAATATTCCAAAATGTTAAGTATTATTGCTTGATCTTTAGCATGTTTGTTTTTATTTTTTTCTTCCTTTGATATTTTTGGGTTTAAGTCTATATTACAATAGCTATCCTCTTTAAGATAATAATGAAGTATTGAATCTTCACTTATAAGAATATTTAGACACTAGAAATAAACAAAAAGTATAAACTGAAAATTAAAAAAAATTAAATACCTCTGATAATTTTTCTAATCTATTTGTTACAGACTCATAGGTAATTTCTTTATTTACATCAAATGTCCCTAAATTCAATTTATGGTTAAAACAACTATAGTATTTTGAGTTTATTTATTTTTAGAGGTTATCAAACTTATTATTGATAATGTCATCCTTGAAATCATAATAATATTTGGAAGAAATATCATGTAAAATATTGATATTAGGTGACTTGTTTATTAGCAGTTCCTTTAAATTAATTATTTCGGGTGATATCTCTAATATATTATCAATATTTTTTTATATTTATATATAAATATATTCATTTGCCTTTGATATTTTCGTTAAATTTAACTTTCATAATCATATGGTATCCAATATCATGCTAAAATCAGAAGATTGACATTGTCAGAGATGTCACTGAAAATTGTTTATACATCTAGGAATTAGCTCAGAATTAAGAAAATCAGAAATATCTTTATTAATTCCAATGAAATAAAAGTAATATGATTTTTGATTATAATAAGATCTCTTCTTATATGAAAGAAGAGTAAATATCCAAAGGGCATAATCTTAAATATAATATAAATATATATAACAGTTAATATCACGAATAATTAATAAATAGCCCGATTATAATGTAGTAATTTGATGTAATCGAAAAATCATATACAAACTAGGACTGTGTGTATCAACTATATCAATCATATCGTTATCGGATCCGGTTTGATATCAGAAAAAACTCGATTTAATATAATTATATGGTTTTTGTATTTTTTGCAATTTTTTATTATTTTACTTATGTTTTAAACAAACGGGTTCAGCTAAAAAAAAAAAATTTTAAATGGGGAATGATTTTTCTTTTATTTTTAAAGAACCTTATATTAGAAAATTTTCTTATTTTAATTCATTTGAAAATAAAAATATATTCATTTTATAAAAATGTGGTGAATATTAAGAAATGGTTATATTTAATCAGCTGTTTCTTTTCCACATTTGAATTTTTTGGCCAGTCACTATTTCGGTCCTAATAGTATAATTTATAAATATCAATATTATTATTTCTATTTTATATATTATCGTAGGCATGGTTGTGTTATTCTATATTTATCATATAATTCAGAATCAGATGAATTAACATTATCATGGCCTAAATACGATAAATAATTTAAAGTAGCATCATACCTTCAATAAACTAATTGTAATTATATGCTTATCAAATGTAAAATGTGGCCAAAAACGAATTTGCACAAAGAAAAAATTATTAAATATAATATATTATATACATAGATCTAAAATAGTTAATTTCTTTTCGAATTTATCTCTTTTTAGTGTGATTATTTGAAATTTATTATTTATAAATTTTTACCATAGGTTTTGTCATAGTTGAATGTAAACACTTTTAAAATTATCGTGTGTTGGAATTATTTAGTTTTATATTTAGATTTATAAAATTTGATTTTAATGAAGTAATTATGTATTGCGGATTTTGAGTTATTTTTATTTTATATAATTATTTTTTTAGATTTATAAAATATATTCTCTGTATAATAATGATGCATCATGATTTTTGGATCATTTTTAGTTTATAATTATGATTAATGATTTCAAGCGTGATTGTGATATTTATCATTTTTAAAAAATATTTTTATAACTTATTATTGATTTGGATTATTTTTTATGAATAATAGCTTCCCTATAAAATAAAGCAAAAATGTAAATTCATTTCATTTTTATTTCTTTTTAAATATATTATGATAATTTAATAAGGTTTATCGTTATCAATATCTTTATGTAGTTGTTTTGGGAAGTACATTCTAGAACGAGGTGGACAACTGAATAGGTTTTATATTCTAATAGTTAAACACAATTCAAAGGATTATAAATTTATATAATATATAGATATTTAAATTTTATGATTTGAAAAATAATTTTTTTATTTACTCAAATCTATCATTTAGAAACATGGTTAATTGTTAAAAAATATATGATATTTATTTATATTAAATTAAATTTTAAAAATCTTAAAATTTTGATCGTAAGGTTATCTTGAACGTGAACGCGTTTGATTTTTGTCAATGAACGTTGAACGCATTCGATTTTTTAGAAATGGTAACAGCACAATTATACCATATTCCCACTAGCTTAATTAAACCTTTATGTGGCAGTTTTAAAAATTATCATTTTATATAGCTTACTTGTTACCCTATTCAAAAACAAATTTGAATCGGATAGTGCATTATTCATATTCGATTCGTTGTATTCATACGAATAATAAAATCTACTATTTGTATTCGATTCGAATTATTCGAATAGAAAAATTATTATAATAATCTGATAATAAAAAATATGTAATCAATAATCTGATAATAAAAAAAATATGTAATCAAGTTATTAACAAGATTAAAATGTATATTATTAATTTAATTCATAATTCTAAGCCAATTTTGAAGGCAGAGAATTTTTCTTATATTTTCTTCCTTATATGACATGCCATTTTTTGACAACAAATTAGTTCCAACTAAGAAAAGTCGTTCACAAGCAGTTGATGATCCTTGTATAAATAGGTATTTCCTAGGTGTAAATGAAACCTATTATATTAATTAATAAGAGGGGATGTTGTTTTGCCTTTACATTTTATAATGCTATTGAAATGATTGCATCCTTTTGACCGTCTTTATTGATTTGATATTGTTTCCATAAAATCGCTCTTTTTGTGGGGAATATTTGTTACCTTCAATATCAAGCATAACTATTTCATCAAGCATTCTCTTCTAACATAATTAGGCTACTAACAATAATTTATTGTTGAAATGCATTTTATTTTTATATATCTTTGGTTTGTGTAATTTTTTAATATAATTTATTATGGTATTCAAAAAACAAATTTTCGTGTGATTCGAGCAAATAAAATTTTAAATATTGCTTTAATTTTCACTTCAAAGATTTTTTAAATTTGTGCTAGTCTTTTTATTAACACATTACCTCTCTGATTGGAAGGTCATCAAATAGAAATGACAAATGCAGAATTTATTAAAAGCAATTTATTAAATATTCCGAATAATTCTTTTTATAGAATAATTCGTATTCGGATAAAACTTAAGAATTTTTTTTGAATATGCATATTCTATAGAGTCTGGAGATAGCGAAAAGTAAAAGAGCCTGGAGATAGCGAAAAGTAAAAGAGCTTTAACGTAGTATTAAATATTAATTTTCAAATAAAAACTTATAAAGGGAATCAGGGTCTATATGATAGGAGTAGAGGGGGGGGGGGGGGTGTAGGAACAGTTTGTATCTTTTTATGAGGAGGGTAGGTTAGGGGTAGGATAATGGGGCTATTAGATTTTTAGATTAAAGAGGGCAATATGTATCGCTGTAATAATCATACTTTTATTATAAAGATACATAATATTTCTAAACACCGACCAAATTTATACATTGCACACAATCATAAACCTATAAATAAGGGGTAATGATAATGCACGGTAAGCGTGCACTATTTTTTTCATGTTTTTCATAAATTAACAAGCACGCCAAAATACGTCATATATTTATTTTTATGTAAATAAATAAGTAAAATTACGAAAGCTCTCGTTTATAAATGTTCGTTTTATAATTATTTTATTTGAAAAACTAAACAATTATTTAAACATTCAATATGGAAATTCAATTTATATTATAAAAGTAATCGTATTTATATACACACAATATTTAAAATTTAATGAAATAGGTTATTCCTTTTACAGAACCTATTCCTTTTACAGTACCTGTTCATTTTATAGTACCTTGATAGCCAAGTATTTTTATACTCAATTTATATAATTTTCCAGCCGAAATTTGACCTCTAAAAATTTCTTTAGCGTGTTACAATTTTTTCATATGACGGTTAACAAAATAAATTGCGGAATTTAAATATACTAATTAAGCACTAAATAATGGCGAAAACTGGATGTTTAGTACTCCTATAGTTTTTGTTTTGGCACGTCGCCATTATTTGTTTATTTTTTTTTTCGTGAATAACTTTTTATTCTTAAATTCGGCTACGGAACTGATTGAAGCACTAAACTCTACTAACGAAGCACTAAAGAATGATATAAGTTTCATCGTTAGTGCTTCCAAAAGTTCGGCCAACTTCACGCCTAAATCGTGACGTCATAGTTTTTATTTAGCTTATAACTTTTTTTTTATAAGGCGGTTAAGTAAATTAATAACTGAATTTAAATACACTAATTAAGCACTAAATAATGGCGAAAACCGGATGTTTAGTACTTCTATAGTTTTTGTTTTGGCACGTCGCCATTATTTGTTTATTTTTGTTTTTTTCGTGAATAACTTTTTATTCTTAAATTCGGCTACGGAACTGATTGAAGCACTAACCTCTACTAACGAAGCACTAAAGAATGATATAAAATTCATCGTTAGTGCTTCCAAAAGTTCGGCCAACTTCACGCCTAAATCGTGACGTCATAGTTTTTATTTTGCTAATAACTTTTTATTCTTAAATTCGGCTACGGAACTGATTGAAGCACTAACCTCTACTAACGAAGCACTAAAGAATGATATAAGTTTCATCGTTAGTGCTTTCATAATTTTCCAGCCGAAATTTGACCTCTAAAAATTTCTTTAGCTTATAACTTTTTTTTTATAAGGCGGTTAAGTAAATTAATAACTGAATTTAAATACACTAATTAAGCACTAAATAATGGCGAAAACCGGATGTTTAGTACTCCTATAGTTTTTGTTTTGGCACGTCGCCATTATTTGTTTATTTTTGTTTTTTTCGTGAATAACTTTTTATTCTTAAATTCGGCTACGGAACTGATTGAAGCACTAACCTCTACTAACGAAGCACTAAAGAATGATATAAGTTTCATCGTTAGTGCTTCCAAAAGTTCGGCCAACTTCACACTTAAATGGTGACGTCATAATTTTTATTTACCTTATAACTTTTTTTTTATAAGGCGGTTAAGTAAATTAATAATGGAATTTAAATACATTAATTAAGCACTAAATAATGGCGAAAACCGGATGTTAAGTACTACTCTAGTTTTTGTTTTGGCACGTCGCCAATATTTGTTTATTTTTGTTTTTTTCGTGAATAACTTTTTATTCATAAATTCGGCTACAAAATGGATTGAAGCACTAACCTCTACTAACGAAGCACTAAAGAATGATATAAGTTTCATCGTTAGTGCTCTCAATCGACTTTTAAGCGTGAAGTTGGCACAAATTTTTATTTTTGCCTATAACTTTTTTTCCTTAAATTCGGCTACTATACGGATTGAAGCACTAAAAAATGCATATGATTCATCGTTGGCCAACTTCACGGAGCTTTATAAATGAGGGGCTTTTGATTGACTAA